CTGATTTTGAAACCATTCTAAATGTTTTAACAAGAAGTTTTTACTGCTGCTAAAGAAATGTTTCAGCAACATTAGATGACCGTTGCAAAAGAGCTATTTCCACAAGTCTCAAGCTAACGTTGCAAAAGCATTAGATAAACATGTTTCAACAATGTTAGAAGAACGTTGCAAAAGAGATAATTTCAGCAATGTTCACCCAAACGTTGCAAAATTTAGTTTCTGCAACAATCGATAAGCGTTGCTAAAAGTGTAGATTTTCACAAAAGACAATGACCATTGCAAAAAATGCAAAATATGCAAACTTTTTGCATCGGTCAATGAACGTTACAAAAAGCAACATTAGCAACATACATTTATAAAATGTTGCCAAAACTCAATTATGTTAACCAATGATAACATTCACTTATGAGAATGTTGTGATAGACCCTTTAGCAACACTCACTTAATGAATGTTGCCTTTTGCATGTTGCAAAATGTCATTTTTGTTGTAGTGAAATTAGGATTTGAAGAGCTGAAAGACACAATAATCTCCCTCTTTGACCAATCAATCAAATACCTTTGAGGAGTAGTTGAAAACATGCTCATTAAAGAGAAAGTTCATGTTTCCGATGAATGTCGTTGTCTAAGATATAGAAAAAAACCAGTATACACTAATTTTGGGCGCAATATCATTCTTATCAACAAGTCGGATCGTCATCGACTTGGACATGGGATAATTAATCTTGAGGGTAGATGATGATGAGCAAGAGAAAATTCATGTTCATGCCACTGTTGAAAAACCATCCCATAATGAGGAAAGCCGAAAGGTTAAAGAAGAGAGCATGGAAATTGCCAATATAGGAAAGGAATAAGTTGAATTTTTGGAAACCTCAAGAATGAAGAAGGAGCTCTACAAGTTTGAAGAATCGAGAAGGGTGTTAACAATGTTGAACATTGTGTTAAATAAGTACCCGAAGTCTGCTTTGAACCACCATGATTAACTTCTCAGTAAAGTGTAGCTAAAAACTTTACATTAAGTACTTATTGGAAGACAACCCAATTTTTTACTATTTTATTGATTATGCTTTGAACAATGCATGTAGTTTGATAGGCTTGCATTTAGATAATAAGCACGTTTCATTTGAAGTATAGCATAACAATTCAAATTATTTCTAGCATATGCCTATAGAAAGAAAAACGAAGTGAAAATCATTGGACTAAGTGCAAAAAAAAGTTCATTATGCTTTGGTACGCTTCCTGGTTTGCATTGGATTATATCTTTTGTGTAATCTAATATTCTTGATTTTCATCCTAAATTGATGATACAATGACATTCAAATAGCAAGTACGAAATACAACGAAGAATGAATGAAGTGATTTAAATGTTGCCTCTACCATCCAACACATCTATTGACGAGTCTCAACATTCCTCTCTTGCTATTTTTGAATTGTGCTTTATGATTATATACATTGAGGGCAATGCATATTTTAAGTTTATGGGTGGTGCTTATTAATGATATTTATGATGATGGATATAGTATGATTGTTTTTGCTTTATATACATGATAAATACAAAAAATGAAAAAAATTGAAAAAACTTCAAAAATATTTCAATGCTTTAGCTTGTACTTGTGTGAGTTGGATAGACATGACAAGCGTAGTTGATATTATAGAAATTGCTTATAATTGATGAATTTCTAATAGGTTATTGAACTAGGATTGTTTTGAAGCTCATTGTTGTTGGATTTGAGATTTTTTTTGGGGCAAAATAGCCATGTTTAATCACATTATATCTTCAGAGTAGTTACTTGAATAGAATAGGATGAAAAAGCTTGAATATATATTGTTAGAAACATAAACCGTAAACTCAATTCCAAAACAATTTAAAAGGATAGTTTAAGGTAGTTGAACTAATGTTAGGAGCTACCAATAGATATGTTGATTTCGTGTATGAACATATTGTGTCGAGTATTTTTAGCTAATGGAACCTAGATATTGTTTACAGACTAGAAGTTTTAATCCCAATTACTTATCCTAAAAAAATAAAATGAATTACACTAGCCGATAAAAATGGAAAAAAGTTGGTATTGTTGTGTGAAGTTAGTTTGAGTAATCTGGCCCTATTCATGACCGATGTTTAGGAGACGATGTACCATGAAAGAAGACTAACTACAGTGTAGAGTGTAACTACCTTCGAGAACTAATGAAATGATCACAAAAATAGAAGAAGAGACACAATGAAAATAAAAACATACCAAAGTGTGTTGAAGCAATGACAAAATAATTATAAGCATTGTTTCCACTCAGCCTAGCCTTGGATATTTACTTGTGGATTTAGACTTCTAGTGGGGATAATTATTTAGGTGAAGTTTGGAAGTTGAGACACTCAAATTTAGGGTGAATTATCACAAATTGAGATAGTGACAATCATTTGTAAAACTCAACTGAAATTGAAGGAAAATGAATAAATAAAGATAATTCAACCCATAGAATGTACACACCACGAGAGAAAACAACCACTGAGAGCCGAGAAATAACCAACTATGAAGTTTACCGTGATTGAATTGACTACACACACATACATCGATCTAATATTGAATAAGTGGATGAAATAATCATGGTAACATAACTTGAAAGTAGTTATTTTTTATTTGTTTATGTGTATTAAGTAGCTAATTTTGTTCGGAATGAACAAATATTCAAGTTTGAAGGAATTTGATAGGTGTAATTTCTATACTTAATCAGGCTATCAAAAGTAAATATTTGGAAGGTAAATTTATGCGATCACAACTTAGTTGGATTAAATATCGATTGTTATAAAATATATTTAGGTGGCTTTTGATCAAAAGAAGTGATAATTGGTCAAAGAAGGGTGAAAAACAAAGAATTTCAAAGTTCAGGACTAAATTACAAATTTCTAAAAATTAATTCAGACCAAGAAATGAAGATTGAAATCACACATCATCAATTGGATTAAATTAGAAGATAGAGGAATAAATTTTGCACAAAAAAGGACTCAAGATGAAAGAGGAAGAAAAGTAAAGGAATAAAACATAGCCAACATTGAAGAATACTTTTCATATCATATAATACATCGATTATTGCAAATCAATGCAGGCCAATTCTCATTTCTTTGAAAGAAATCAAGAGGCAAGATACAAGAAATCAATCATTTAAAGATTAAATCTTGGTTTTTGCACAAAGACGAGGAAGGTACAACTAGAGATTAACCAAAGAAGATTGAAGATATTCAAGATTTCGTGGTTTCTCCTCTTTTTCTTCATTTATCGCAATTTTGGGTAACGTCTTGTAATCTAAACATTATTTCTTGTAATTTTACAATGCTATGCTAGATTTTCAGTCGCTAAGATATAGATGAATCATTGTTATGAAATTTTAATATCAATTTCAATACTTTGATGCTCAATATATATTTATCTTAGATGATTGTTGTAGAGTTTAATAATTTTCAATTACTTAATCACTAACTGAATTCATGTATGTTTTTTTATTAATTTTGAGACTTCTTAATTGCTCATTGGTCAGTAAAGTAGATAATTAGTATAGATTTGCAAAACACAACTTGACTATTTGATTAGAGTTAGTATTAATTAGAACAAAATTAAGTACAGTCTCTTTGGAACAATATTTTATTCATCACTCGATTAATTATCTACGTTACCATGCACTTGTGGGATTTCTTCGATCAATAAGCATGACAAAATGTAAATGTTGGAGCGTTAATGCAATTAAAATGTCGTATAATTATCCTTCGTTTTTTGCTGATAGGAAATTTTAAGGATGGCAAAATACCCTGAATGGGAGGGTGCCGGAGTTTTCCATTCCTATTTGAAAAATCGGGAGTTTTAATTTGAATTTGATTTTAAAAAATTAAAAAATGTTAATTCTTAAAATGAGATATTTTAATCTCAATCCCGCTCACAAGCCATCCCAAGAAAATCCTGTATGAAAAGTAATTCTTAAACGAGATTTCTGTAATATTAAAAATTGATAGTGACTACCCTTAAGTGTGTTTATAATTTGTCCAAAAATTGAGACTAATAATGCAACTTTGTTTTTACCTTTACTTTTGCTTTCGAATAGCATTTGGATTGTAAAACTTTATCAACATTCAAAATGTATTTAATGTAAAGTTTAAAAAAAGTGTTTTAACGATAAAATTATGACACTAACAATGTCGTCCATGTAGAACGTGTCGTCATGAGCAATCATGTTAAAAGAACCATTCTGGGTGTACAGAAAAGTACACCACAGAAATACAACAGAAAACACACAACACGGTGGAGCCCGTCATTTTTTGCAATATTTAAATACACGGTGAGACCCACTCTTTATCTCTCATCTGGTGGAATTCGGGTGAAAATCCTTCTGTACACGTGGAAAAATTGATGTTAAAAAGCTTTACTCGAAAAAATAGAAGGAACACTTGTCACATATGTAAAATCTTATAATGTCCCACGTTAATATTGAATTCATTCATAAAATTTTAATGACTTTAACCTTTATGAAACTTATGACGTGGCATGCAGATGTCGATGTTCACAAGCTCCAACAAAATTTCCCTTATTCCTCCCTTCATAATTGGTTCAACCTCAATTTCCTCTAAACTCTCCCGAGGAATTTTGGACTAATATTTGAATTTTGCAGTTTCTAGCCAATAAATTGGTATCAAGTTAAAGCTAATACATCTAGAGAGTTTACGCCAAGATTAACTGTAGAGGGAATCACATCATGGGGAACTTCCTAGTCTGATTTCAAAGCTCATTTTGAGCTGTTCGTCACTGGATGGGCGGCTTTATCTGATCAAGGGCCTGTCTCGGTTACAAAATCTGAGAGCATCAACACAGCATTCTTGTTCAAATATAGGTGTGCCCAACAATTGCCTACCGCTTCAAATGAACTTCATAGAGACTTCATATCCAAAAACATGAACATTCTAACTAGAAAGTCATTCAAAACTGGAAAATTATCTGCAAGATAGTGTCATTTGAACTAAACAGTCATGGGTGTAGATAGTCACAGAATGCACCTTTTCTGCAATGCCCATTCTCATAGAATTTACATACTCGCTGCCCCTTGGGAAGGGGCCTAGAATATCCTCCACCACCATAAGGCTGCCTACCCCATGTGGGCCTGCCCCTCCCAAATCCAGGTTCGCTACCTTGATATGCCCAATCCCTGGGGCCCGTAAACCTTTCCCCACCATATTTTCGTTGGCCATCCCACGGTAGACTTCCATTTGGAGCACTGCAATTTGCGTTTGGATTTCCCCATGCTGTCCCTTGGTTTGTTCCCCAACCAAGATCTGCCATTCCCTGAGAAGGTCCTCCCAAGACCAGATTAACATTACCCTGAACGGTCACCAGATTAATGTTACCCTGCACCATTACCCTACCAGAGTCCATAGTTTCTGATCCAGTGCCAAGAGCCATAGTTGTTCCAACCATGTCTTGACTCGTGCTGTTTGGTGCAGGAGGATGGAGTTCTGATCCAGCTTCCCCTTGGTAAACTGGGAAACTAGTTTCTCCCTCACTACTTGCAGATGAATGTACACTAGACCTCCTAAAATGATCAAGAGCATTAGAGTTAGATGCATCAATTGGTTTGCATCCCATGGCAAACTGACAATTTAGCTGTATCTCCTCCGTGGAGCTCAACGCATCACTTTTTCCAGGATCGGGTATAGGACTGAAATCATCAATTGAACTAAAACAATCATCTTTAAAATCTTCCATCAATTCCTTACCATATTTCATGGCTGAAGCGGGAGAAGGGAAGACACCTTGTGATTCCATAGCATCAACTTCAGCTAACAAATCTGATACTGAATCCTCACCCAAAGCATCAAACTCAATCGGCTCATTAATTGATATCTGCCAATCAGGTAAAGTTGGGACAGGAAGGGATGGAGGAGACTGGCTAAGTTGGTTACTATCTAAAGTTGCAGTAGTAAAATGTGCATGTGTAACTTCAGGAGGTTTCAGTGAAGATGAAGGGACAAGATCAGAATCCCATTCCTCCACAAATTGTTTAGCAGGTGTAGGGGAATATCCACACCATTCATCGGCCATTTCAGGCAGTTGTGCCCCGGTCACTACTAGACTAGAAGCACTGCCCCAACTAGCGCCCATATTTGGAGCAGGCGAACTCGTCAATGCAGATTTCTTAGTCACAGCAACCTGATCTCTCTGGTCTTCATTGTTTGACTTGGGGGTAGAAGTTGGCACCTCCATGATATCTGAATTTTGCATTGGAAAATTTGAAGACATTGATGGCTGTCTTTCAGCTGTCTGAACTTCACAATCCTTGTTGCTTGTCTTGGGTGTAGGACTAGGAAGATCTGAGATGTCAATGTAGCCATCCTGTTTAGATGAGCTAGGCAGCTTGGCCACGTCAGAAAGATCAGAGGTAGAATCCATGATGCTCGAGTTTAAATTAATGGGTGGAGATCTCACATTTTCTTTAGAAGGTTGACCAAGTTGGATCTGATTATTAGATTGATCTTCATAATCATGCCCACCACTCATCTGAACTTCCATTGGTCCCCTTGTATTCTTGCCTCCACATTGTGAACCATAGTCAAACCCATCACTTTTGTGGCCTCGATCCAGATGAGCTATATATGTTTGCCCAACACTTGATGAAGGAGCCACATTACTTGCTTGGACTGTGCCAGTACAGGAATTATTTTCATTCAACAAATCCCAACATCGTGGCAACGAGGAACCAGATCCATCTGACCTCGCAATTTCTGTGTTTTTATTGGACAAAGCATGCAAATTACTACAGTGCAACGCTGCCTCTGTTTGATTACTGTTTCTACCAGTTTTATTTATATCCTCACTCCCCGCAGTGTCGGACTTAAGTAAGCTATTATCAGGGGCAGCCCCAAGTTCCTGTGACCGTGCAGAGAAGTTATACAGTACCTGTGATGATCCATGGAACTGTCCACTTAAAGCATCAGTCAGAAGCAAGGAATCATATTGATCATTATTTGTCCATATCCTCATATCAGGCGGGAAGAGTCCAGTTGTACTCCACTTACGCAGCTGCACTATGGAAAATGGTCCTTGAATTTTTCTACTAGGGTCACGATAGTGCCACAATTTTTCAGTTTCAGTATAGTTAGCATAAGGTGAATTTTCCAAGGACATGGTAGCTGTTGAAGTTTCTGATCCAGACGTCCGCATGGCTTGATCACTCCTGCCACCATTTGCTAATATACTGATATTGACTGGACTTGCATGTTTCTGTGACCAGTATGATCCAGATGCATCAGCTCTCTCATTCATATTATTTGTCTGGATAGATCCCTCTTCTTTACCTGAGTAAGATATATTTACAGAACTCTATAATTAAGTTACAGGGTCTCTTAACTTATATATGATCTATCACTGGATATTTTTTCAAACCTCACCTTTTTTTAAACGTTGCTTTCCATTTCGAGTAAATCCAGAAACATTTGGCCTCACATTGCCATCTGCATAATAAGACCAGCATCACTGAGAATCCTAATTAACAAGAAATGCAAATGAAACAACTAATGGAAAGACAAAAATGTTCCATGTATAAAAGCTAAATAATGTTACATACCTTGCTTACTGTTAGTACCACCTTCGGCATCATCTTCTGATCCATATTTTGGATCCACTTTTGGATCAGCATGAATCTCTGGAACTTCACGAAGTCTCCGTTGGCGTTCCTCGGTAGACTTCAAAAGCTGTAACTTCTCTACATACTCTCTGAGAGTGAGATAGTCAAGAAAGCCAGGAGAGACAGGAAAGATCTTTTCTCATGTCAACATTGCAGCGACAAGAAAAAAGAGAAGATAAAACACACCCAAACTTGTATTGGTAATTCTTCTCTTAACGAGAGAAAATGAGAGAACTGGAATCATGGATGACTGCTAACCTGCAGCTTCTATTATATTGTGAATTGCATTGCTAAAACATCAGTGTTGAGGACACAGCAAGAATTAAAAAATAAAAAATACAAAAATTAAGAGGAAGAAGAAAAAAAACTCAATAATCTATGATGGAGATTTATATAAGCCGTACATGTTAGAACAGGAACAATTGACTCAAGTCATGCAAGCAATGAACACAGGCAAATGACTTCTCATTATTACCCACTTGTAAATTCATAATGTCGCCTTTAAACACACAGTTCCAAATTCAAAATTGAGCATTTCTTATCCATGTTCAGGACTCGATAATGTCGAAGACAGAATGTTGTTTATGACAAAAGATGGATTGAAGCATATGCATTGTATATTACTAATACAGTATGGAAAGTGACATGATTCCCTCTGCAGCTCGTTGGCCTCTCGAAAAGACCAAGATATCAATTATAGTCCCAATTCTAGGAAGTACATTTGGTGATGGGTTATCATGTCAACTATGTCAAAAACCACCTTTCAGTAAATTCTTTTTTTCCTTTTCAAGCAATACTATATCAAGAGGAAAAAATTCGATGGAGCCTCTTCATCTCTTAAGCTGTGAATCATGTCCGAGTATAATAGAAATTTATACTTCTAGCTCCTCATGTGTACAGGAACTACATTTCTTTTATTAACTCGGAGCACAAACATAACTCCATGCTCTAAAATGCAAAATAAATAATAACGAAAGGATATTCCTTCTTATGCCCCTTCTCACTAGCACGATCACGAAGATGATTTAGCCTCACTATCTCTGCCTCCAGCAACTGATTTTGAAACAGAAACTAAGAACAAATCAACACCAGAATATGCAAAGAAATTAAGCCAAAGAAATACATATTTTGTAAATAATCTATTACAAATGGCAGAGTGAAAGATGTCTCACATATATCTTCTTTTTTTTTTCTTTTTCTTTTTCTTTTTTTTTTTAATTTATCAAAAAGGACTAATTTGACAATAAAAAGTCAATCACCAAATAAATAAATAAATAAAAATGAAGAACATCTTCTTCCTATGCGTGTATATCTAAAATACACATATAGAGGAGACAACCTTTTTCACACTGACTGTTGATAAACCATACACAAAGCACAGTACAAGGGGCAATCTCTGCCGTCAAGCAATTTCTTTAAACACAGATAGCTGATCTCAAAGCGGCTGAGATGATTTTATATGCAATTTCTTGATGATTTGTAATGACTTCCAGGGACAATTTTGTCTTCGCTCCAAGCAGAGAAGCTGCACCTTGATTGGTGGTGGATTAAGAGGCTAAGTGTTTTATGTGTGAGTACAGGAAATATTTGGTGAGTTCCATATGCCTAGCTAAAAATCCTTCTGTGGCATTTCTCATTCAAATCAAGCAAAAAGCTTTTTAGTCTTTCGATCTTGCAGAGCAAATTTAGCAAGGAGAGTGAAAAGGGAAGAAAGAGATGTGCAATCCCCAACTGTGATGACTAACTTTGTGATAGACCCCAATTAGGATCACCTACACAAGAAGAAGAAAAAGGGGTGAATACATCCAACTGCGAGGCAACCAGGTCGGTTCAAATTCCAGAAAGTTCTTCCATTCAGTTAGCAGGAGGGGCAAGTGGGTAATTAAGCTATAGAAGAGGTCCATAAATAGGATGAAGGAGGGTTATTTGAAGACATGTTTTCAGTGATATTCAGTTAGAAAGGAGAGCACAGGACTTCTTGAATTGCATTGAACTATCTTTCAATTTCCTGTTTTCCATTTGCCTTTCAATTCTAATAAACTTGTCATAATTAGCAACTCAATCTGCAGTGTATTTCCTTTACAGCAAATTACAGTACAATACAAGCCTTTTAACACTTTCAATTGTCTAACTGCTTCCCTTGAATAGCAGCACCCAAGTACAAATCTGTAACAGAGGCAGAGGTTCCTATCACTTTGCTAAAAGTGTATATCAGGAATATCACAAATTTTGGTCATTCTCCAGAGTTAAGAATGTTGTCCCTTTTTCATTTTGTCTCCCCTCCACAATCTTTTCCAGATAACATCCCCTCTAAGAAACTCCCAAAATCAAAGACAAAAAATCTGCTTATTTATCTAGTCCAAACTCCTACTCCTTAAAACAAATATCAAAGAGAGAGAAGAGAAGTGCCAGAGAATAGCATAGGATATGGGGATGAGGAGGAGGAGGAGTAGGAGGAGGAGGAAGAAGAAGAAGAAGAAGAAGAAGAAGAAGAAGAAGAAGAAGAAGAAGAAGAAGAAGAAGAAGAAGAAGTCAAATGATATATACATGATGTTTATGAATCATATTAAATTGAGATGTCTTCAGAATCAAAGTATAAAGCAGTGGGCCACTAAACTTACATCATTGAGCCTGACTTCTAGGAGTGCCATGGCTTTCCTTTGTATCTCCCCCTACATCAAAGAACAAATATAAAGGGCAAGAAGTGTTTATTTCTTCTCAAACCATGAAACTATGCCAGCATGCCTACTTACAACAGTAAACCGATTTGCAAGCCCACATCTTATGCTCTGACGTAATCGTCTGCACTCATCCTGAATTTCAAAAAAGTTAATTTGAGCACAATATTATATCTTCAAAATAAAAACCATTAAAAATGTGAAATCTTTTTTTCTAGATGTGCAAACAGGTTAACAATCATCGCCTGATGTATTTATTACTGGAGCTGATATGGTTAGATAATTTTACAATAATACTGCTATCGTGAGTCTGTGACCTTGCTGTAATAGCTATGACATTGAAATGCATGCCAATTGCACCTGGAAAATATTTTTAACTAATACTTTCACATTATAGTTTACTGAGAAATAAAATAACAAGACATACTTACTCAAGTTTATTTAACATGGTCTCAATATTAAAATCTGAAATCATTAAATATTGGTCCAATTTTATAAGATATTTAAGGTTGACGACCTCTGGCATTCTGTCCTTCAATGTAAAGGATTTACAAAATATTATACTTCAAAAGTTTAAAAGTTAGAAACGAAAAACCAGTTCCATATTTCAAGTCGTTCTCCAAAGGAGCAGTGACGGTGGTAGTAGTAAATAGTATTTTGAGGTATACACGTGCACAAAGTTCAGAACAGAGAGAATTTTTATGTATCTTTAATTACTACTACTGCCATCTCTGCGGCTGCTTCAAAGAAAGACTTGAAATATGAAACCGGTTGCGTTTTGTGAGTTACAGATAAATGCACTGGAAAAAGGCTCAGAAATTTGTCTATTTTTATATGTAGTTACCTCAGAGAACTCTTGATTTGAAATAGCATCAATGGCTATTGCCTCTTTCTTGTCTAAGTTCATAACTTCAAGCATGATATCTGTTGTCCTGTCACCAATTTTGTAAGGCTCGGCCACCTTACTCGTACCTGAGATTCCAATTAATGATACTGACTTAATTCAGAAAATCTTTGCCTCTACATAGAAGAGTAAAATGAAAACCAAAAGTATAATTTAAATGAAGTTATGCATTTATACCTACAACATGGACAAGCCTGTAAATATCTTGCTTCTGATCAATACTTGATATTCGGATTCGCACAATCGAGCCAATCACCTTATCATGGAACTTCTCCTTATCTTGAATAAGATTCTCCATTAAATTACGCCGTAAATAAATCATATTAATGTTATGAATATCGATGGCAGCATATTCATCAAAATTTGTCTGGGGTTTTTTCTCTTCACCCTTTTTGCTTCCTTTCCTTTTTCTACTTTTACTTGTTGGTAAGCCATGACTGCTTCCACCAACCTCCATGTCATTTGGAACTGGGCCAACAAATCCAGCCGGGATGAAAGCATTTTTCTGAGTATCATCCTTAATGAGAAAATGGAATTCGAGAAGCTTTAACATTTCAATGTGACCAACACGTGGTTTCCCAAACAGATTTTTTAGTCTTAAATCACAAATAATTTGACTCTTTTGACGAGGATCCCGAAGGCTATTCATCTTTATGTAGTCAAGCAAGAGTGATTGGACATCAAACTGTGAAAGAACTGTTGTTTCACCATTTTTCATGTGTGCAACAAACTCCAATAGGTTTTTAGATGCCCATTCAGTGTGTTTGTCGGTATTTGGCAGGCACGCATCTTTTTCAATGTTTGACTTACCTAGGCCTTTTTCAGAGCTGGGCTTGTTAGCATCGTTGTCAATACATGGCTTCTCCATTTCTTTGTCAATGATTAGGTTATCAGAGCCTTCATCACTGCTTGGCTCAACTACGTCATTAATATGACTTGGCTTCTCTGCACCTTTAGCGCTACTCAGTTTCACTCTGTCTCCATCAATGCTCGACATTTTTGGGCTCAATGGATCCTCGTTTGAAAAACTTAGCTGTTCCTTGGACTTATTCAACTCCAAATGCTCAGAAGACCAATATGAATTAGCTAATTTTCCATTATGTGCATTATGATGTACATGAGTTGATTGTATCTTACAAGGAACTATACCCACCCCTTTCCTGGGGTTTTTAGCTTGAATAACCTCACTCACTGTCAAAGATAGTTTCTCTTTCAAGTAAGTCCAATACATCTTGAAAAGATACTCCCAGCTAGTTTTGTCATCAAAATCTACTTGAACCTACATAGATTAATTCCAATAGAATTGTCAGAATAAAGTTGCAACTGCTCTACATGTCCACTGGCAAGCAAGGCACGTCTCCAGCAAGAGGGCAATTTTCAATGATGGTATAACACATAATTGAAATTGAAAATTCCGGCTCAATATGTAGCATATATATGTTTAACCAGCCACATGTGGCCTTTTAAAATCAATACTTCCCATCCATCTATTCTGATATTTTCATCCAGACCATGCCATTCTCATTTAGCAAATATCTATCAATTTCAGAAGCACAAATTCATAACGGCTCGTAGGCTGTATGTAAATGTCAAGAGCATTTCTTTATTGAGTGAAGCACAATGGTGTATAAGACACCAAAGAAATCGGAAGATAATTTGTAGAAGAGATTCGTTTATAACTTCAAAAGAAATTCTATATAAAAAGTTCATAATTACTAAGAATCTAGATTAGGTCACATGATCAAACGTTGTCTTTAAAGGCACGAGAACATTACTCAAGCTTTCAAGGTGAGTACATACATCAGTGTTGATTTTTAAATATGTTTGATAATACTTTTAAGTACTTATAAGTTGTGGGTCCTACGAATGCATGGATAAAAACAAGGTTTGACTAGCTTAAATTCTAATTTTAGCTTTCCAACAAGCACTTGAAACATTTATTAGACATGGTATCCTAGAGAGAGAGAAGAGATCACATCAATCATTTACCAAGGACACATAGAACGGTCTCATCATTTGAAGCAAAGATTTTTGACAAATAGTTCTGTTTTTTGTCCAAATATATATATATACACACATCTACAAACAATTTGTGAATTATCTACAATTCCAACAATTTCACAGAATGGAAATTTAGACCCGAAAATCATTCCAAAATGGCATCACTTCACAATAAACAAACCAGACAATAAACTATGATATTATTGCAGCCTCCCTAACTTCAACTCCTCAATTTGATTCTAAACAGAAAATGGATGTCAACTCTGGACCAAAAGGATTCTCGTAACAAAAAACAATGATTATTGGAAATTATTGACATAAATGCCAAATTTCCAGGTTGATACAACCTTTGGCTAAAATATTATAATGCATACAAGCATTGTTAGTTCAGAAAACAAAAGTAGACAAACTAATTCCAGCTGCCTTCCCTAGTAATAGTGGAACCAGAGCAAAATGGCAAAACACAAATAATGTGTGCGCTTAATAAAAAGGTGACTAGTAAAACCTACAGGCCAGTGTACATTCTAAGAATGAATTTGACATAATAAAAGCAAAGAAATATTAAAAGACAATAACATTTCAGTATAAGAACATGTAAAAGAGACAAATGCACGTACTGATTCATTGTTGGCTTGGTCTTTATTTTCAATCAGCATGATAGTCTTCATACATGTATTGCAAAAGCCTTTGTTTCCTCTAACACAGACATAATCTGCATCTTTGGTGCACCCTTTACACAATGAATAAGTGCATGTATAGCACAAGTAATGGGACGCCTTCCGACATACACTACATATGTGCCAACCTGAAAGCAATATCAATATAAGAACATTACAGGCATGCTCGTAGTAAATCAGGATTCAGGTATTCTAAAAACATCTATTTTTGTAGTTTTCGAGACATTTAAAAAAATATGCATGGAAAACTATTCAGATATAACGGGAAAGAAACCGAAAATTAGAACAGAATAGTAGGGCTAGAAAAAGAAACTAAATAACTAATATTAAATTCTGTCTAAATATATAATTGCAACTTCTAAAATTTAATGACAATGATTGAATGTCCAAGACATCTTTACTAAATATGTTAAGAAGGAACACAGTTCTACAAATTAAAGGAATTCCCATAAACACTAAAGACTGGAACTTTCACCAAAATATGTGAAAAGAAACTGAGTAAGCATGTTTGCTAAGCTTAAAAGGAGCTTCTTCGGGTGCTTGTTTGGGGAGTATGTCTCTACATACTACCAAAGAACTCCCCAAAGATGCAAGTTTCAAGCTCCAAAGAAGCCTAGCCAAACATGCTCATGAGAACTTAATAATACCACCAGAAAGATAGAAATAGCAGACTTCGTTAATTTCGTACAGATAGAAGAGCAACATACCGCAATTCCACTTGGCTTTTGATCTAAAAAATGCTTCATCCCGCTTGATACAAGCAGGATGATACGCCTTTGGACAGCCCCTATCCATTGATAACAAAAAGTCGATTAACAACTAAAGAAACTTCAGTTCATCACAAGTCTTTTCTTTTTCCAGTATTAGAAGACAAATGAAGCGAAATTTCATTAAAAAAAAAAAAGCGCTATAACTTAAAAAAAAAAAATAGGCACAAGATATTGACAATCATAAATCAATTCACTAAAATTCAACTCACTTGCGATCACAAAGGACAAGAGATCCCCCATCGAAGCAAATGAAACAAACGTCCTCCTCCTCCACCTCTACTTTTTTCCGCTTCACAGGAGGAGACCTCACAGCCATCTGACTCCTCGGCGGCCGTCCCCTTTTCTTCTTCTCAATACTCCCAATCACCCGCCCTGTCAACAAAGCCACCGGCGATGGATTCACCACGGCCGATGACTTTTCAACAACAGAATCTTCGGATACACCCGTCATAACTCCTCCCAGCTGCAAATCATCCATTTCCTGGACGGCAGGAAATGACCCACAGTCCTCCGGCTTTCTGGTTGGTACACTAGTATCATCAGTTTCATCGTTGTCAAATTGAGCTACTGCAGCTAATAATGTTTCTATGTTTTCCATAAAAAAAAATACTCGATGAACCCTAGAATCCTCAATTCCAAAACAAACTGGTAATTATTTAAGTTTTTCCAAACATGTACAATCTACACACCAAAATCTACAGAAAAAGAGAGAATTGGACTGTAGAAGGTTAGGCTGAGAATTCGGCAGAGGTGCAATTTGGGTATAATCTTTAATTAGCAGGATTGAAAAATGGAATTGTACCAAGAATTTGTGTTTGCTATTGCATGTGGACGTGTTTCAAGAGTCAAAGGCAGAAAGGTGAATGGCGGGTCATCCCATGGCCAACGGGGTAAGAATTGGCCAACACGTGATGCTTATGGGGCCAATTCCAGACTTCTTTTGTAGTGCGATGCTGAAGAGTAAAAGGTGGAATAATCAACTTTTTGAAAACTAGCCCGACTCATAATAGATAGTAACAAGTCCAGGTTCTGAGTTACTAATCCAAATCGAATTGATAATAAATAGAAACTTGCTAACTTTTAATCGAATTAAAAATAAAATTGATATAAAATTAGTATTCAAAATATAAAAATTTTGACCTCAAGAAAATATTTTTAGGTTTCAGAAAAGTCCTTTCAAACACACCCTTACAGTAACGATCATGTTATTGATACGAATCGATCGGCTCGTGTCGTCATAAATCCTCTTTATCTAAGCCATTTTTAAAATAATCGAACTAATTCTTAATTTTTCCAATCAAACTAGCCCGTTAGATTTTCAGACCGGTGTTAATAATAGTTGACTTGTTTGATTTTAATTTTGTGCATTAATTTCAAGAGTTAAAACTACTATTAGCTCGAACTACTTAATATACAAAGTTTAAACGAGTAAGTATGACCGCACGTTTAACATTTAAATATGGTATTCAAACACGCCCCTTATTTATATACTAAATTCATTTTTTTCCCATTAAATGCTTACACTTTCATAATTTAATGTTGAACCAATTGATGTGAAACTTTAAACTGATATGACATATATCTATAATATATTAAATACTATATCAAGCGAGATTCATTTTTTGGACGATTTTAACCCTACAACAATTCAATTATTTCAATAATACCTTACATTTCATTTTTTTAATACGTAATAAATACTATAATATATTTGCCATGTATGAATTTTATATTATTAATTCTCAATTAATTAATATTCACATTAATCTTGACTTGATGAATCTTAGTCTACATTAATCTAGAGTTATTATAGATAAATTTATTTTTATTCATATATCTAGAAATTTTAATGTGTGTTTAAATTCATGTATTAGTAATTAATTGTTATTTAGCAAATGTTGCTTCATAAAAAATTTGAATAATAGAAGTTGAATTTTAAAAGTACAATTTTCTTTTCTTAAATTTTTTGTCCTATTTTTTTTAGTTCGTTTGAGACTCATCAAATCCTTCCTACAAATTATATTAAATATTATTTTTACAATACTTGTAAAGTATTTTAGAATAATGTGCAATACACGTTCAACTCTAACTAATATCATATAAATGTAGTCTTCAAAATCATAGCCAACTTGAGAATTGCGGAACGGAAAATATAATTATCGAAAAGCATGGCTTGGTCCAGCACAATCATGTTTATGAGTGTACTAGCCAAGAGTTTTTCTTCGTGTTCTA